TGGTAGCTGTTTGAATAAGCTTTAGTGCCAAGATGGTTTTAAACAGTGTTGCCACCCCTTCACAAACTAATAATGTATATCGATATTTATCGAGGTAAATATTTATGGCAGTTACGTAAGTAATTGCAATAATACAATATAATAAAAAAAATATTTAAAGCTCTGGTTGACGCATATTCTAGTATAGGGTTGCCACTTGTATAGAATAAGAAAATTAGTTTTAAATTCACGTTAGCTAAGTAAAATATTACAATATGTGTAACAACCAAAATGGATTTTAGGAAGCATTTAGCGCAAAGATATTTCTTACCAGGGTTGCCAACTGTATTTCAATTAAAAAGAGTTGAAAGTGTAATTGATGTAAAATATGACAATATTGATATCTAATGATAAGAATTGAACCGAAATTTCAATTAATTACTGCATTTCAAATGATTTATAAGCTAAAGAACTTGATTTTAATTTAAAGTGTTTAATTACTCTGTAAATAAAAAATATATATGTAAGCCCTTTCTATATTAAGGTAACGATATACTTAAGTTAAAAATCTACTCTCAAACCGTTCACATTTTGCCTTTTTAAATGAGGAATATGTAGGTAGACAGGCATATTGTCTTTTCAATGCAAATATGTATGTACATTAGGGCGCTCCAAAATACGTAAAGTCGGAATTTAAAAGTTCTCACCCTCTAGGATTGTTCTAAATCGGAAAAATTATAGTCCTGTTTTTTTTTTGTTTTCTGAAATCAAAAAATATTTAGAGGTCACTCAAAGTGCTCAAAGTTTTCCATATATTTTATATAGGAAAAAACATTTTTCGTGGCAGTGGTTTAGAATTCATTTAAATCAATATTTTCCTTTAGCAAAACTTTGCCTCTCTTTAATATATCTTAGGTAATAATAACAAATGGTTTATTTAAAAATTTTTTAGCATTAAAAATTGTTCATAGGCTCCCTAAAATCCCCAAAAATGCAATGGGGCAACCCATACAAAATCGCTAGTGTTAAAAAATGGTATAATAAAGAATTGGATATTATTAAGGGAAGTCTCTTGAAAAGAAACAGAGTTCTCCGATCGAAAAATATTGATTTTCAAGGATTCTATACCACTTGCACCAAAAATGGTTTTATCCCCCATTGAAAATACATGGAAAACTTTTTTAACGCTTTAAGCGACGTCTATATATTTTTTTCGATTAAGAGCAATCGTTCAGGGCGAGAATATTAAAATTCCTACTTTTTTCCCAAGTGCATTTTTGGACCACCCTAGTGTACATACAAGTTATGGATGTGTGCTATGTCTGGGGAGCAATTTTTAAAGCATTTAGTGTCGATGAAATCTTAATTAAGCCCAGACGATGCAGTTGTGCACACAAGTTTACTTCGCCATTGCTGCCCTTTTGGCAAACTATCCTTTGGTTAACATCTACTTAATTGAACGCTTGACAACTTCACCTTCCTGAAAATGTTGTCAACACTAACAAGAGCTGATTTTTCTTTTGAGGTTTTACGCACTGTTTAACTATAAAAATACATCAGTACGTACACATCGGATAAAAGCTTTTGAAGTTTAGGATTTACTTTGTCAAAACTGCATTGCCATAACATTTTTTATTTTTTTTTTTGCAACCCCACAGCACCCACCACAGACTTAAATTGCACAATCGAAAAGGATGGTTTCGAGGGTTTCATCAACTCAACCGATGTGCCCGCAGATATTAGAGATAATGTGATTAAAAATAAAATACCCTTGGATTGTATCTGGCGCATACAGGTGCAGGATAATTGGAAGGTAAAACTAATCACTTGAATTGCTGAATTCCTACTTCAATTACATAAATGCACTAACACTACTATTTTCCATTTCACTTTTAATTAATTGCAGATACAAGTGAAATTCCTAGATTTTAAATTAAGCAAACCCAATGACTGTGAAACGAATTTCTTAGATATCTTCCCAGAACAAACAGTCATGCCTCTTAGGTAAGTCAAGTAGTACATAATAGGGAAAATGGATGTTTTTGTGATAATCTCGCCTCATTGGCTTGTGGCCACAAAATCATGTCAAACTCTATTTGACATGCACAAACACACTACATGCATTACATACATATGCGCATAGACATCTTTCAATCATCAATGCCACTTTCACCCTACACGAAACGACAAACTGACAAACTGACAAACTTGCTGACTGACACCGAAGTGATGTGGCATATTGATGGAGACTACGTACATTTCATATTATCCATTCTCTGCGCACACAGACATACATACATATGTACACTTGAAATTCTTTATTTCACTTTTACTCAATTTTTTGCAATTTTCCCATTTTTTTGTTTGCAGAATAAAAAACTTTTGCGGCTCTGCTGGTGAGGGCATCACTTCCGATACGAATACACTGCATCTGCGTTTCTTTGCCGAACAGGTGGCCATCAATTCGACATTTGCCATTTTATATACCGCCTTTCGAGATCGTGGCACCGGTAGGTAGCAAACAATGAGTCAATGAATCGTGAATCAAAAAATAGTACAATAGAAAAACACCGAAATGCAAAGCAAAACAAAAAAACCAAAAAACCTTACTAAAATAACAGTTGATTGAAAATGAATTTTCTTTTTTCTAGTAGTTTTTTTTATTTCTTTTATTCGTGTCGTTAACTACTTGCATTTGTCAATATTTGCAGCTTGTACTGAGGAGGAATACGATTGCGAGGATGCCACTTGCATCTCACAGGATCTCAAGTGTAATGGACGTGACAACTGTAAATTTCGCTGGGACGAGGAAGGTTGCGATGTGAGTGAGCTTTGACAATTGCTTTTCGTTACATGCATGAATGATTGCGCATATTTACATATGTATGTATGTATATTAGGGTGGTTCAAAAATGCATGTGTGGGGGAAAAAGTAAAGACAGAATTTTTATGCTCTCACCCCCTAGGATTTTTCTATACCGAAAAAAATATACCCTTATTTTTTTTTGGAAATCAAAAAATATTTAGAGGTCGCTCAAAGCTCCCAAAGTTGTCCACGTATTTTATATGGGGAAAAAACAACTTTTCGTAGAAATGGTATAGAATTCTTAAATATCAATATTTTTCTATCGGAAAACTCTGTTTATCTGTAGAAGATTCCCAGTAATAATACCCAATTGTTTATTCACCCATTTTTTCATCGCAACTATAATTTATAGGTCCGCCAAAAACTCCGCCAAATGCAAAAGCGGGACAAATAAAAAATCGTTAATATTAAAAAATGGTTAAATAAATAATTGGGTATTATATTGAGAACCAGAGTTTTCCGATCGAAAAATTTTGATTTTCAACAATTCTATACCATTTCTAAGAAAATTTGTTTTTCCCCATATAAAAATACATGGAAAACTTTGAGCGCTTTGAGCGACCTCTAAATTTTTTTTTTATTTCAAAATAAAAAAATATGGGTATACTTTTTCGATATAAAATCCTAGGGCGGTGAGAGCATTACAATTCCGACTTTACCTTTTTTTGAACCACCCTATTGTTTACACATGATTTTTTTTTTAATAACTCCTCTATCTACATATGTTTTGAGTGAATGTAAAAATTTTGTTTAACTCACAAACAACTAATTTGAAATGCAGTATTCGGTTGAAATAAAATTTTCTGATGTTCACGAAAGGTTTCAAGCCTTCGACATAGCCGAAGAGAGTGCACAGACAGACGGCAGCGTTGATCCGGATTAACACGTAAATTAGAAATTAGCTCGGCAATATACTGCAGTTCAACCGGATTTAGTCTTACAGCGGAGCGATTTCCATAAATTACTGTTGCTGTTGTAGCAGCATACAAATTCCCCAAAGACTTTTTGGGGAGTGTTGCTGGAGTGACAGTCCTTGGCCAGATATAAATCTGGGTCGTTCCGGTTACGTAGACCCGACTGTTTTTTTTATTTGGTTTCGTTACATGCTGCAAAAAAAATAAAATAAAATTTTTAGAAAGTTCAATTTTTAGGAATTAGGAATTTTTGAACTTTAAAAAAAGCATTTTCTAAACTAAATTAAAAACAAATTTAAATTAAGTTAAAGTGGTTTAACATAAGTAAATTTATTTAAAGTTTACAATAATTTTTTTTGCAAAATTCAAAAATTCATATATTTGAATCAAAACCTTCTTAAAAACTTCAGGATATTTTCAGATGAGCTAGGATATTTTAAGATCAGCTAGAAATCCCGGAAATTGTGAAATTTATGCCCGGTTGCACCTATCAATTTTAAATTTCTCAGCCTCTCAAAATTTAAAATGACACAATTTTGTTCGGAAAATTTGTCATTTTAAATTTTAATAGTCTGATAAATTTTAAAATTGATTGTTGAAACTGTGAATTATAATTTCAGAATTTTGCTTAGCTTTCGAAAAATAAATTTAAACTTTTTCACTTTGGCAGTATTCGGTTATATAATAAAAGAAAAGTTCTGACCAAAATTGATTCGAATCAAAAATGGCGGATTCCAACCATTTTTCGATTTGACATGGATTGACTCCAATATATTTTAATATATTTAATTTTATTACGAAATTCCTCAACAAGTATAGTACTATAATTACAATTAAAACAGTAATCGCATAATGCGCAATACTGCCGGCCGTCAGGGTAAAATTTCGATCGATAATCGGGATTAACGTTACCGTCTGTCTGCGCTTTAAAATGCATACATTTATGCACCTTAAAATGCGTACGTGCCCGTACATTAATGCATATATGTAAATACACCCATGCATATGTTCGTATATGCTACATACGTATTTATGTATGTATATAAATGTTGTACGTGCTTTCTTCTGATAATAGCAATTGTGCAAAGAAATGGTCAACTTTAGGTGCTAAGGGAATATCGAATGAACTATCAAGTGATTGCAATTGTTAGCGTACTACAATGAAGCTATCAAGCTGTCGAAGTTGTCATTTATAAAGTTGCTGTTAACTGCAGTTTGATGATTTTTTTTAATTTTTTATAAATGCAATGTGTAGAAATATTCAAAGGACTGGATTTTCCAAAATAACATAATACGATATTAAATTCTACGAGAAAAGGAAGGGAAAAGAGAAACGGGTAGGAAAAGCCGGTTAAAAAGTGAACTATGTTCACGATTTAAAAATGAAAAATGTTAAATAATTATGGCTACATGCATATTCAAATAGTGAGAGCAAAGTTCGTTGAAGCTTGCTTCACAGGTTTAACTTCACACATAAATATTTAACTTCATTGAAAATTTCCCTAACAAAACCAAGTGGCACATTGGGCGACACTCATGACTCCAAGCCTGACCATGGTGTCGGAGCAGTGGTCCGTAGTAAGCAACCCAGACAGCGGATTGTCACTAGCTTGAGGCGAATTAACTCTGTCGTTAACTCTCTGACTGAGAGAGAAAGTGTGCCGATGAGCAAATAAATCTGCAAGGCCACAAAGCTTTTGCGGGATTGCCTTCTAATTTTAATACTCGTTACATTCAGATACTGGGTAGGGGGAACCAGTTTACTGTTCGTCAATAAAGTTCCAGAATTTCTAACCTGGAAAGGATTGCACAGTGATTCTTTGGCCCAGGACCCATCTCTCGTATGCTATGGAGTTCCGTTAGGCCTCTTCACCTAGATGATGGAAGCGCAACATTACTAAGTCCTTCTTCCCGTAAATATCTACAACCACAACACCCAAGCACTCTATCACTTCACTAGGCATGAAGTGTGAACTGTTACAGGGCACTGCAGAGTAATAAAGCAATAGCCAAGACTGGAAGTGGTTTGTGCCGACCAATGCAGGTTGTGTCACGAGGAGCAGGAAACATCAGTCACTATTGAGCCCTTAGAGTAGTGCGATCCTAAGATCTATTGTCGCCCCTTCATGGATTTATATTGTCATTAATCCAGTATCCAAGATAAATATAAGTATTGAGCCTATAGCTCTGGCTTCTGCCTTGGGTTCTGTTACTACTAAATACTTAAATCTTGGACATTTTTTCGAATTGCCGTCCCGGCTGATCTTTGCAGCCCCTTTCCATTTTCGCTTCTCTTTTCCCGAGCCGTATCATCTGCTTTCCCTCAGAGGGTGTTAAGTTTTCCCTAAATTTCAGAGTCCGTTTAGGTAGAAAAAAAATCCTTAGAGGCCACCCCCACCCCAACTGTGCTTTAAGTGGTGCCTACTTTGGCTATTTCAGACTCCCTAGTCAGGATTAATTTTCAAAGACCTATAGTTGGGAATTGGGATGAGAGAGGAGTAAGATAAAGCCAGAGTTGCTGGTACCACACTATCAATCGGTTTTGGTTAATACAGCGGCACCTAGGAACTTTATTAAGATTCCCTCTTATTTCGTGATGATATTATAGTTTCTTTAGCATATTCAGTACCCAAATATAGATCTTTTACAATAGATCGTGTTTGGTCGCGGTCTATATGTCTAAATTTTTCTAATACAATAGAGAAAAATAGTGGTTTGGGAGAATTTTGTTAAGCGGACCGAAAGAACCGTGCTTCCTTTTTGCTTGCCCCCTTAAACTCAGTCAACTAATAGCCTCAACACTTAACTCTGGAGTAGATGGCAAAACGAACTAAATTCGATAGAAAAGGATTTGGCAGAGGTAAGGTAAGGAATTAAGGTTTCTATTTCTTTCATATTTGAAAGTCACATCATCTTTAGTTTTGGAGGGCATAGAGCATTTTAACCCCTTGCATATTACAGCGGCATCCGATGCCTTTTCGGATCTTGCAGTTGCAGATGTCCTGGGTTTTCGTTCAGGGTACGGTGAGCCAACACGGAGCCCATCTGTCTAATAACAGACCACATTTGCAGTGAAAGGCACTTCCACTCACTATTCTCTCAGTGGGACCTAATCCAGGTTGAATTTCCTGGCTGAAGCCCTGCTTGTCGTTAACTCCTCTTGCCGACACCATATATTGTGCAGTTTTTCCTCTTCTTCTATAACAATACAAGTAGTATTAAACTATGTATAGGTTGTTAAGCTTCTTAACCTCCAAATTTTTCCGAGATGAGTCAGCTTCCATAAAAAACCTCCTTCTGGATTACAATGTGCAGAAATTGTAGGTCTAAAAGCGCTTCGAGAGTGGCAGTTGGTACCCGCGCAGGCTAGTCCTTTGGATTTTTCTGAGCTTAGCGTGCGTAGACTTTACTTCTGTCCTCTTTTTCAGATGGGTGGGGGCACTTAATTGGATTGAAAATATTATCGTACATCCATCTACCCAAATTGAGTTCCCTTTAGGGGACCAAATGAAGTTCATGTTTTTAGCAACTTTTTATCAGAAATTGCATCCAAATATTTAACTTTTTTTGAAGAAATGTCTCTACCAATAAAAGCTATGGTAGTCTTGATAGGGCAAGATTTCTCACCATATTCCCAAAACTCGTCCAAAAATGCGAAGGTTAGATCTAGCAATTCAAAATTTGCGTCGCGCCTGAGTTGCAACCCTAAATTAGGAGTATAAATAAAATAATTATATTTTCTTCTGTTCTATTTAGATAGAGAACACTCTTTAATGAGGTGTAATATTTTGAGTAGCATAAGGGCATAAGGTAAATATTAAGGAAAAAAATCTGAATTATATTTAAACAAAAATTTAGTCAAAGAGCGCTCTTACTGTTTTAACTCACAAAAGAGGAAAACAAAATTGATTGCTCTTAAATTGAGTTGTATAGTGCGGAGCTAGATGGAAATTTTATTCCTCAATGAGGAATTTCGACGTTACTCTGTCTTAAAATACATTACTACTGAACAAAATTTTCACGCCCATGGACCGAAAAAAAAAAAATTGCAAAATTATTTTTTTACGCTATTTGTGAGGATTGCATAAGAATCTTAGCTCCTAAAAATTTTTAGCCAATAAATCTGAATTAGAATCCTAAAGCTTCAAAATGCCATTTGTAAATTCTCAATACGACCATTTTTCACTGAAATACATCCTATCAGAAACTATCGAAAAATTTTTAATTTTTTTATTGTTCCCCTAATTTTGTTGAGCAGTGTATTAACTGCCTACATTAATAGGTAAGTCCAAGCCAACATTTAAGTTCTTCACTATCGAAGCCAGATAAATGTTCATTGGCCGCCACTTACAACTTGTGAACCCCCATATTTTTTTGCCTCTAAGTACAATGGAAAATACTGCCTGACTGCTTTGAAAAATTGTTTTTGCTTTTTCCAGCCACACACAATTCCATTCCTTTCCATTCTAATTTGTTTACACCAACGTAGACCCCCGTCGAGTCTTCGCTGGGGGTCCACCTGGACCGCTTTGGGAATCACTGATATAGGAGGTTAAATATGATGTCTTCAAGCCTAAATGAATTACTTATTTGATTCTTCTTCTTCTTCTTCTTATTTGGCGCTGTAACCGCCTAAGCGATTTTGGCCGAGTCCAAAACAGCACGCCAGTCATTTCTCTTCTGTGCTAACTGACGCCAATTGAAAATGCCAAGTGAAGCCAAGTCCTTCTCCACCTGGTCTTTCCAACGCAGAGGAGGCCTTCCTCTTCCTCTGTTCCCAGCATCGCGGCCCGCGTTGAATATTTTCAGAGCAGGAGCGTTTCTGTCCATCCGAACGACATGGCCAAGCCAGCGGAGCCGCTGAATTTTAATTCGCTGCACTATGTCTATATCGTTGTAAAGCTCATTTATTTGATTACCTTTAGTTAAATTCTCTGCTCAAAACGTTTACAGAACATTTTACCCCGACTTCTTCTAAGAAGGGTCAAAAAGACCTCTTCAGGTAGAAGATAAGGCATTAAAATGTTCTCCTAAATGAAACTTAAATACATTTTTCATATAATCAACAATCCAAGAATTTCATTCATTCTTTAACAATTATTTTCTACTTCCATATTGCAGAAGCAATCTTCAGAACAATCCGAGCATATGATCATTATAATGATCGTTTTCGGTCTAATCTTGGGTGGCATGGTTATTACATTCCTGGTGAATTGCATACGAAAGATAATGCACGATCAGAAAATCATACGGGTAAGTACTTTACAGCGAAGCAAAAACATTTAACATAAAATGCCTATCAACCTCACATCAAAGCAGTGAGCTAAAGAATATACAAAATAAAAAATGTTAAAATTTACATAAAAGTCAAACCAAATAGTACTCGTCAAAATTAAATCATAGCTGTAAACACACCAACTCATGCATACGCTATGTAGTAGCAAATTTTAGTGTAGAAAGTAATTATCTGGAAGTAGTTAAGTACCACATACTTACATAGTATATATGCATAGTTTGAAACGAAAAATTTGTAAATACGACGATGTAAATAAATTTGCATGGTAAAATTTTTAATTTGGATAAATTTCATGTTTTAATTTATTTAATTAACATATTTTATTTGAAGTTTTATTTTCTTCGCACGTTTGTTTTTAAATTGAAGCACAAAAAAAATAAAAATATTTTTCCAAAGAGACTACACTTTTTCACACAAAATACATATAAAAACAAATTATGCACATAAGCTGGCAATAGCTTATTATAATTGAGATTCACTGTTTTAAGTATTGAGACTAAAAAAATTATTAGAAAATACATTTCTTCCTAAAAATAAACGATATTCACGAACTTGAGAAACATCTTTTTTAATTACATTTTTTTTTTAAATACGTATCGACAGTTGAGTGGTTGATCGACCATCTTAGAGAACTTTTCAAGAACGCATTATATCAGAATTTGGTTGAAAAACGCTCTATCCCAACTAAAAATATATTGATTTTTCAACCGGATTCCGAAAACTTTTCTGAGAAAGCGCGTTTTCGAACTTCATAGCCGTAGATATGTATTTAAAAAAATGTGATTAAATAAAAGTTTTCTTAAGTTCGTGAATATCGTCTATTTTAAGGACGAAATTTATTTTCAAAGCATTTTTTGCCGCACTTTCTTTTGAAATTCTAATCACGCCACCACAAATTTCATTTTCGGCCTTGATACTAGTAACTCTTATATAAAAATAGCTTTTCAGATTTCTTTTGAAATTATAAGGAGCTTTTCTTAACCTTGTAAATTCATTAGATTACACATTTTGGTACGCTAACTTTCTATCGAATTTCCACTAGTTAATTGCTTAATGTTTTATAGAGAACTCTATGCCACAGTTTCAATGTAAAGGCAAGCTCGCTGTAAGCAAATATGCAAATTCATATAAAAATGTTAAACTATTTAAAAAATTTGAATAAAGTTCATAGAAAGGCAAGTGGCCATGAATACCCGTGAAATTTCTGGGCAATTCCACGTCGCAACGGCTCATGTTTTATAAATATACATACATACTTTCATAGTTTCAGGAAAAATGACTTAGCATATAGAGATCAACATAAACATTTTAACTTAGCGGCTGATATACTTGTTAATTTGTAAAGTGCCTGCAAACCTACTACTACTGATGACTGTTGAGTTATGGTATAGATCTGTCTGATTTAAACCGATGATAACGGTTCAGAAAAACTGTTAATCACATGTGTGCGGATCAAGAAGTATCTTAACTGGAAAATAAAAAATAAAAAACTTTTCATAAAAATCATATTTTGATTTTCAAAGTAATCTGCCCTTGGTGCGACAAACTTCATCTAATGATAGGGAAAGCAAATTCACTGCCTAACTTACTAGTTTGATTCAGTATCCCCTAAATGTGAGTCCATCGAAGTGCATTCACAGGAATAGTATGTCTAAATTTGAACGCTTAGTCGGGGCAATAGAACAATTTATAAATGATTGCCTTCTTAACATTTTCCTTTTTTCAAGATAATCAATACTAATCAACTTTTTCTTCTTCTCGAATGTCATCTTTCCAGCTGTTAGTAAAGGCTGCAGCCACAGATAGCCCATAACCCTCACGATCCTTCATGATATTTCGCCCAACTCTTCTTTTTTTCTTAAGAAACATACAAGTTATTTGCACAACTACATAATCCGTAAAAAAAATCGATTCCCTTCGAATATCTCAGTGGGATTGGAGACCAGGATGTTTGCATGTATTTATAAAAAAAAAAAAACACAAGTGTGCATGGGCCCCACTGGAGAAGTGAAACTTACATTACATTGTAGATAGTTTGTCTCATAACCAATATACAGTGAAAGCTCCCATAAGCGGAATTTAGTAAAAAATAATATTAAAATGCAAATTATAAAAATGAACATCTGGGGTTTCTAATTAGAAATATTATTTGTTCTTCAATATACAAAAAATAGAATGAGTAGAAAATAAGTTAAAATATATGTCGTTTCTCTTTCTATCGAAAGATATTTATTACCATCTCATTGCCGGCTATGCTCAAACAGAAAGAAGAGGGCAACGAAAAGGCAAACATTTTTTAGAAAAGAAAACATCTTTGAATATAGACACATATATTTACTTGTGTACATATGCATGCGCAACAGTCAACATCAAACTGGAAAAGGCAAAATTCACCACTTATTAGAACTTAGAAAAAGTCGAATAGCATTTCGATTTGTAGTTCGCTGGTGAAAAATTCAAACCCCTCACCAATATAAAACGCACCAAAGTATTCATCAAAAAATATATATTTCAAAATTCTGCCTTAGTGGAAATATGGCGCTGAAGTTTTAACCGAAAAAAAGATATTTGAAAGACGTAGTCGGTCGCGAATACCGAGATCGGTGAAAGTACTAGCCGTGGGTAACACAGTGCGGCGCCGCGCCAATGCGCTGATACCGATTTTCACAAATCAGTGAAGCAACACCGGAACACTGACAACACCGGGCGGCACAAATAACCAGCAAAGACACGAAGTGTCACTTGTAAAATGTGCAGCACAAGGCGAATTTTTACAAGGTGATGTTGCTAAAATTTGTCGCGGTCCTTCTGAATGTGAAAATGATGGTTTTGTTGTATTTTTGGGTTTTGAACTAGGGTATACTTGAGTTTTTTCTCAACCGATATCACTTTGATTTAATTCACTTTGGTGCAGGAAATGAGCTTTAGCCTGAAAAGGAGCAATTGCGCCAACACACTGTGCTGATTCCTACAGTGGCGCTGGAGTTAGTGTGTCAGCGCCAAAAAATTTGCGCCGTTACCCAGGCCTAGAAAGTACTCGATGAATTATTCTTGGCAAAATATGATCACCTCAGTAATGGAATGTTGAACCTTGCACCATGCTAAACCGTAGATATATGAATAAAGCTCATCGCATGATACATCGTATATATGTCGGCCGTGGCCACTGGTTCAATTTTTAATGACCCTGTCACGTAGGTCAGACAGACTTTGAGCGAACACCGTCTGCGGCTTATTGGCATAAAACTGCGACTTCAGCAAACTTCATAAAGAAAAGTCCAAGGGATTCAAGTCGCACTAGAGATAACCAAAGGATGTGGTCCAATTGAGTTAAAGTAAAACGGGTCACTGCAAAATACAAAGCGGGGGAGAGAAAGATATTAAGTATAGGTTACTCGGCAATATGCTATACCCTCAGACTCACTTATCAGTACTGATGCAATGCCTGAGGAGTAAGTAGGCACTTAGATAAGGAATTAGTTGTCGAACATTGCAAGCTACCAATCAAAAGCCCTTTATCGCCTTTATCAAGAGCCCACCTATACACCAACCTACCTCACAAACTAGCTATACATCGCTCTTAGAGTCTACAGTGCTGACGAGCTCAACATCGCTCACCGGCAGAGGCCTGCTTCTCAGTTTAAGGTCATTGAGATGTACTTGAGTCAATGGGCCTTATGCATAAAAAGTGAGCTTAAGCTCAGACTCAATTTTTGCACTGAAAGGGTGAGCTCAAGCTCAAGAATTTGTACTGAAAAACGAGTCGGAGCTTAAGCTCACTTTTTATGCATGAGGCCCATTGAGTTATTCAACCCTTAAATAATCTCACAAATAACATTTCGGTCATTTGTGGGGCTTACGTTGACATAAATACCTTTGTTTTATACTCATGAGCTCTTAGCTAAATACAACTACGGGTACTTTCTTATAATGATATTATTCTGATCACAAGCAAATAGAAAGTTTAAGCCATTTTGAAACCACAAACTCATGCAAATCCACTCCCATTTGGCCTGCATTCTGAAATATTCTACAGAAATGATTGACCAAGTATCTGTAGCCTCACTCGAGCAAGGGCTGGAAACTCGCAGAGAAAGTGTACAACTCTCTTCTTTAAGGCCGAAACCTTTCGCAGCGGCAGAACCTATTCACAGCTATGCCATTCATTCCGGCCAGCATCTTGTGCAGCCAGCATAAATTTATTTAGATATTTTCCTTGCCTTTTCTGGTAATCCCATACAATCTAATATCGCTTCATCTCCGCATAGCACACTTTTAGCGTGGATTGGCCCCCATGCAGAAATATGCATGCATAGTCAAAATAAAGCGCACACATTTTTGCGCATTTCACAACCATTTTACATATATTTACCTACATGTGTATGTATGTATGTAAATGCATTCAGCTCCCCACGGTTTATGTGAGGGCCATTTCCATCTCGCAGCATGTCAGGTGTTGACATGAAAAGGACAAACCATTCAACGCAATGAATGTGTAGCTTTTTATTATTTCACACATGTCCTTGCCTGTCAGTACTGACTGCATGCCTTGCGGAACGCGCTAGCCGGCATAATACATACATATATACTTAGCTGCGTATCTGTCTACTGTATGTACATATGTACATTGGGGTGGTCCTTAAAAATCAAATGAAAGATTTTTTTCCGCCTCACCCCTCTCAATCGGTAGTACCAAGGTCATAGATATCACATATAAATTTTGGCGCCAATTGGAGACGGTTAAGGCGTATCGCACGGGGGGCAAAATTCAGATTCCTCTATAGAAACTCAAAAAAATTTTAATTATTTTTTCTTTTTCATCTAATACCCAAAATCGACCACCCTAATGCACATACAAATACGCACTCAGTGTCTGTACGGATATGCGCTTGCCGGCTAAGGCAGCTCAGTCGACCTACATGAAAGTTGGTAATTTAATACCATTAGTTGCTTTAGC